TTGCGCAGTAACACTCATGTAGATACCTGACCGGAAGCAACTCTGCTCCCAGTCAGCCTTACAGCAGGGGGCGAGAGATTGCTTCCTGCCCCCAGGAGCTGCCTGCTGCCAGCGCAGGTTCTGCCACCAGAGTCTAGGTGGGGACTATGTCCCCCTGCCCAGCAGCAGGGGGCTGGGAGATCCTTCTCTCTGAGGGCCAGCTCTGCAGTTGCAGGGCCAGCACTGAGAAATCCATATCTCCTTATCCTTATAAGAATCTCCCAGCGCCGGCCCCACAACTGTGGAGCTTGGGCTGGGAGATAAGGATCTTCCAACCCTTGATCTCCAGTCATGAAGCAGGGGGCTGGAAGCTTGTCTCCTGCCCAGCTCCATGATTTCAGAGCTGGGCAGGGAACAGACTCTCCAGCCCTTGGCCTGAGACTGCAGAGCAGAAGCAGGGAACTGTCCTGGCCAATCAGGCAATCAAGGCATGGGGCTTGGAAAGAGCTGCAGGGGAGGGGCAAATCCCAGCCCCGTGCCACGATCTACCTGTGGGGCAGCTAACAGTGAGCACCTGGCTAGGCGGGGAATCCCCACCTAGCTGGGGGCTCGCTGCTAGCTGCCCCACTGGCAGATCAGAGCAGGGGACTGGGATCTACCTCTCCCCTGAAGCTCTAAGTCCCCTGCCCCCGATCGGGGAGCCGGGAACAGGAGCTCCCTGCTGCTGGAGAAGGGAGACATTGTCCCCACCCTGGCAGCAGGCATCCCCCCCCACCCCCCCTGGGGCAGGGAGCAATGTCCTAGCCCAGTGCTCCATGCCAGCCCCTGGGCTAGCACCCAAGGGGAGCTTAGCGCTCCCCACAGTGGCTGTAGGGGCCCACTGTAGGGCCCCAGGAAGTGGGAGCAGTTTGCTGCCATTAGGAGCAAATCTGCTCCCACTTCCCTGCACATGTAGACACCTTCCCGGAAGTGTTTACTCTCAGTAGTTTACTTCCAAGTAAACTGCTCCCAGATCTAATGCACATGTAGACACACCCACTCATACTCATCATCTCCACCCATAATATCACATAGAAGTTTTTTGCCTTTGGACACCCTTTAATTCTCAAAATTTGCTCCTAATATCTTTGGTCACAGCATCTGATGACATGAACTTAGGTTCACAAAAGCTTGTGCTCGATATATATCTTATATTAGTCTATAAAGGTGCACATCTACCCTACTTTCCTTTTTGGTATCAGTCATTCAGCACCATATCCTAGTTCTATCTGTGCCTGCAGAACAGAGATTAAAATAGTTTCACAGCATTGCCAAGAACAGTATGGGCAGAATCCTGTTTTGCTTTCCATATCAAAGTGGCAGCTCGAAAACTGCCATTTTTTACATATATGCAGTTTGTGAACCTACTCCATGTGTAGTCTGGATCCTTAAATGCCCACAAAGCTACTGACCATGCACAGTAGGCTGTTCTCTGGCCAGAAAGGTACTTGAATATAAGCCCCATAATTCTGTCCTGGCAAAAATGAGGCAGAGGGGCCTCCCATGCTTTAGCTCCAATAGCAGAGTGGTTAGGCCATTCCCCCAGAAAGTGGAAGACCCAGCTTCTAGACTTCCACCTCATATAGAGGATGTTTGAACCTGCATCTTTGGCCTTCCCAACCCATCACAGCAGTCAGAAAATGACACCACAAGTTAAGCATTGTTGCGTCACTTCTTCAGTCCTCCCCTTAACGCTGAGCCACTGTGCTTTGCATTGATTCCACTGAATAAAATAGATAAGGAGCAGGAGGGAAATTGCTGTCCCACTAAAAGAAGAGCCCAGGACCTGCTCCTTCCAGTGCAACCAACATCTACCTGAGCCACACATTCACTAGAATGAATGCTTGCTTTATTCTTCTTGCCTTTACATATCTCTCTCTCTTGGCTACCTAAAATCCAGCTTCAAAAGAAATGCTGGAAAAGCTTGACCTGTGATGTAGTAGACTAAACACTGTGCTGAAAAGTGAGAGTAGTGCAGATTCAAACTTCTTCTGGGCAAGACGGGCCTAGAACAGTCTTGTGCTTCCTGGGTAACTGTCTAACTGTTCAGCTCACTTTCACACTCCTTTTCATCCTTCACTATGCTCAGCTGAGACTGGAGTTCAGGGATAGCTAAAAGCACCAGAAAGTGGGGCAAGAGAACAGTGCTCCAGGATGCCCAACAACCTTTGAAAAGGAAACACTTATGTAACCCTCCCACAAACACTTCTAAGTTTTCCTGTTTTGAGACTCAAGAAATATGGTCACCCTAGTTATGTGAACCACATTCAGTACCCTGGCTTGATCCTTCTGAAATGGAATGATCTGTTCAGGGACTGAGAGACATACCCCACTGTGGAAAGGATTTTCCATTCTGTATGGCAATCACAGAGGGAAAAAAGTAGAGTTTCTCTCTGTGAATCTGTTCTGCTGGCAACATATTCAACTCTTCTCTCACACGCATTAGCTCCATGGGGCTCATGGGATATTTGTATGACTATTTGGGGTGGACAGTATATTCTTGTGCACAAACTTTTTATTTCTCCAAGCAGCTCTACACAATTCACAGGGCAGACACTCTTCACAACTTGTGCACTAGACCACAAAACCTCAGGAGCAGTTGGCCCAACACACCACCAATCTATTAAGTGGTAAGGGGCTACTGCCACATCATGCAAACCTACAGTCCAGCTTGCAGAGTACAAATGAGTGAAAAACTAACTGGGCCTGATTATCAAGAAAACTAATTATCATAGAATCATAGAAAATTAGTGTTGGAAGAAACCTGAGGAGGTCATCTAGTCCAACCCCCAGCTCAAAGCAGCACCATCCCCAACTAGATCATCTCAGCTAAGGCTTTTTTCTAGTCAGGTCTTAAATCCTGTAAGGATGGAGAGTCCACCACCTCTCTGGGTAACCTGTTCCAGCGCTTTCCTACCCTCCTAGCGAGAATGTTTTTTCCTAATATCTAACTTAAACTTCCCTTGCTGCATAACTCCTAATGGCTACAGTGGAATTTTAGGTGGTTCAACACCTCCAAAAATAAGGAACATTACGCTTAAAATGTTTGGCTACAGTATCACTTTTGTCTTTGATTTTATTTCCACCTAAAGTTTAAAGTTTAAGTGACCAATACATAACTTCTGAAGAGAATGTAGCATTTATTAGTTAAAATAATCTTTGGGGAGTGGAGGGGTGGTAAAGAGCCAGATAAATTATTTCAGCTTTATGTGCTGCTTCCTTTATTTCTAAATTCTGTGGGAGTAAAATCATTGTATGCACATATCTATTTTTTTTATTGTTAGCTACCCTGTGCCTCTTTGGGGCAAAGCAACATCTAAAGCTAAAGCTAAATAGTCGTAATTATAGTAGTAGTAATGGCCTGGACCAAAGCTCTGGATCCAAAGACCTTCAACCACTAAAGCAGCGCTGTTATGCATAGGAACCTTCTCCAGTCATAGGCACCTTTACAGGTTATTACTAGGAGTCTGAATAAGTTAAGTTGCATAAGGTGTGTGATGGGACAAAGGTTTTCATACAAAAAGCATAAAGATGATTCCAAATAGTTCCCTCAAAGACTCCCATTGAGGATAACCTGTAGAAATAGCTCATCATAGGTTCAGC